TGTGATGTGTTGATATTTACTAATTGATAGAATGTATCTTGGAAAACCGAAGACATCCTCTAATAGTAAGTGTTTACTCGTATTGACAAATAACGGTTATTGGTGTCATTAAGGCTATTTCTCTTATGCCTATTAATCTCAAACATACGTTAATTTGTTTTGTTAGTATCCTAAGACTTGAATGGGAAATGCCGTTTTTCATGAAACCGCAATCATTTGCAAGTGAAGTTTAATTTTATTTTTCTTTAGTTTTATTATAACCTAAAAATTGTAAGAGCAACATTGCAAACGTACCACTTATAAATATTAACATTTATAAAGGCATTTAGGTAGTGCTAGATATGTATTTTTACAGTGATTATACAATTATCTGGTTAGGACAATAACTTCTTATCATAGAATTGTAATCATACAAAAATCGTTATTGAAAGGAACGGGTTTTTGAACATGAACTTGCGCATAGGTGGGGTTGTGAAAAGACCGGCACCTAAATCGTTATTATTTTGTAACTGGAACGTAATCTTGTAAATTGGCTTTCATAAAATTGTTGCTAAAAACGTTTTCAACGATTTAGAAAGAACTAGGTAGTGTTTGACAAAGTAAATAATTAAGCAGATAGTACTTATATCGATTGCCCGCAGTTTGACTTGCGTGGTAGGTACATAACCCCTATTATAATGGTTGAATATGTGTCATGGGGACTTCTTGCTCTTTGGAAACATGTGTTTTTAAGTTGTTTTAGTGTTTGATGATAAGGTAAAACTGCAGAGTTGGTTGATGAATAAGAAGTTGTTATTATTAGGTGAATGTTATTTTACATAGAAATAGAAAACTTATATCAAACTGTTTTTGTGTTAACACCATTATGTTATGACAATGATTAGATACAGGCAGTAGGGTTTAAATACCTGTATTATATTTTAGCCTAAGGAAGCTTGCACTTTATAAAATTGAGGTTATTTCAAGTCGTCACCATTGGTGACAAATGGAGAAAAAAAAAACCGTCTGTTGGCAGTTATGACAAATGGAATATGATATTTCCAGTCATTACAACTGGCTTCGGTGCCACTGGGATAAATAGGAGATAAAGATATTCTCATTTTTTGTTTTGGCAATTTTTATTTACATTGCGAATTATTACTTACTAGCTGACCCGCGCAACTTCGTCTGCGTCTCTCAATAGTAATAAATTTTCTCCGTTTTTGAAACATTCTTCATTGGTGCTCCGCTCCTATTGGTCTTAGCGTGATGATATATAGCCTATAGCCTTCCTCGATAAATGGGCTATCTAACACTGAAAGAATTTTTCAAATCGGACCAGTAGTTCCTGAGATTAGCGCGTTCAAACAAACAAACAAACAAACAAACTCTTCAGCTTTATAATATTAGTATAGATAAAATGGGCGTTGTGTGTCAGATGTCCGAAATATTATTATTATATTTTTACTATTTTTTACATATTTTATTTCTTTATTAGTCGTTACTCACTTAACTTAGATAGTAAAAAGTAACGAATACTGATGACTTCGATTTTGTTAAGAATAAATTCGAAAGTTGTTCTGAAATTTAAAAAATAAGCAGTTAGTAACATTGCGCTGATGTTTCTATAGCTATCTTATATCTTGAAAATATCTAACGCATATGACTAATTTTTAGAAATGAAAAGACTACCTATTTCTAATAATTGAAAACTCGATTTTATTTTTATTCCCTTCGCTGGTAACAATAAAAAACACTAGTAACAGTTGGTGATTTTTATTCCCATTTATCACAAACATTAATATCGGAAACTGGGAATTTGTTATATGATTTATCACCACTGGCAACATACGGGATATTTTTACCCATTTGTCACTAACGAATATTTGGGAACGAAGCCAGTGGCGATAACAGGGAATCTCAGATCAAATAAAAAAGTTACGATGGTGCTCCGTGAATAAAGAAGTGAGGCCAATTAAAGCCACGCCTTAGCGTGTACATACACAATTATAACTTGTCAGTCGAAACGTCATCAAAAATGTCAACAACATTTACAAGTAAAAATGCCGAATTTTGTTGTGTAAAAATCAAACTCCAAGAGATAGATAGTAGGATGGAATCGTATTTCACACATAAGTAAGCGTAGAAACCAATATTTATCAATAAAATATATATCAATAAAATAAAATTATGATGGCATTACTGGCCCACGCACCCATGATTATAAGACCGCCGTCACTTCGTTCTTCGCAAAAGTTCCATCTTAACTGGGAGCTGGGAATACACTTACACAACTTTTTAACAGAACGTATAGTAACAATAATAAATGAATCTTAATACAGTAAATAAATGAGATACTTATAGGTGCATTCGAAAAGCAATTTACTAACAAATACAAATTTATTATTATAATACAGAATCCTTTGGCCTATCTACTAAAGTAATATGTAAAAAAATTATAGTTACATATATTAATAGAAAACAACTAAATTATAAGGCTAAAACAATTATGTAATGTGATTCTTGAATTTAATACTGAATAATATTACCATTTAATAGCGTTATAATTACTTATATAATTCCGTTAATACAGACGAATATTTGGTATGATAATGTCGGATTTGGCTTTAAAACTTTTTGCGCTATTAAAAAAATGGTCGGACATGCTGGCGTAGTCTTGCGCAGAAACACCGCAGTCTGCAGCTGTACCAAATTATCTACTTGCATACGATTTTAAACCTTGTTGTAAGGGAATAAGGTTAATATTTTGAAATTGTGGCTCTCCCAGCTAGCGGAACTTTCGTTTCGACGACGCGATAAAAATACTTATCGCCCATGCAGAATGTCTAACAACCTTCCATGAAGTTCGACGACATTCACCCACAATTATTACTTGCATTGCTAGTAGTAAAATATAATAATTTCGATGATTAGGTGTTAAAAGCGATCTAAATTTCGAATGCTTAAAAGGACAAAGCAAATGAGGTTGGGTGAGGGAGAATTTGGGCTATAACTCACCCTTAGTAATCGCTTGCTCATGGCTCACCTCGTTTCGAGACTGCCACGTGGTATGCAAACGTCATGCCGATGAGAATGAACTTCTAGAACTTATACTGAAATTGATACTAAGTAATATTATATGGATAGAGTTAAAGTTTGCGAGTTTGTATTTTTGGGGGAATCTCAGAAACTACTGGTTCGAATTGAAAAATTCTTTTAGTTTTGGATAGTTTTTTTATCGAAAAAAGATATAGGCTATAGAACATCATGTAACATGACCAATAGGAGCCGAGTATTAATGAAAAGAGAAACAGACGAAGCTGCCTAGGTCAGGTAGTCGATTAGAAATGGGCGAAACATGTATGTTAGCAATAAAGGTGCATGATATGCTTACAATTTTTTATACCGCACACTGCCGACTGATCTCAAATTAAGCAGTCTGTGGTATGTTAACCTAATCAGTGTGGTAATAAACGTATTTTAGTTCCACAATTCACGTTATAATACTTAGATATATATTAGGCTTTGAAATGTGACACTCACGACCTTAGTTCTGATGTGATAAGACTGTTTCGTCTGACCTTGAATGCTAAGCCAATGTTAATACAACCATAAAATGATTTGCGCACTGCTGGGACTTCACCGACGAATTGTCCTTGAACTTTTGGTTGGAACCTCAGCATTTCTGATCATAATATAATGTTGTCAATTTTTGTTTTTAGGGCTTCTTAGTAGGACTAGGAACCCTTATAATTTCGCTACGTCAGTCTGTCTGTCCGTCCGTCCGTTTTGCGGTTTGGCTTAGAGACTGTTAGTACTAGAAAGCTGTAAAAAATTACAGCTTGGCATGCAATGCATGGGGGCAGATACATTAATACAACTAAGTGCTAAAATTTCATCAAAATAGTAATTAGGAGTACACGTAAAGTGTGTATGATAGTTATATTATTGTATTAATATAACAATAATTCGAACTTAACGTGTTATTGTATTAAAGAGCGTTTAACCCGTCACCATAATGTATTCACTCGCCAACCCCCATGGACACCATGGACCACTATGTGAGACGACTAAAACGTCACCGTATCCTATACTCGTAGCTACAAGGCCGGCAGTAGCTCTGGGCAGCAGATGAGTAGATGCTTCCAATAGGAAGTTACTCCGTACGACAGCATCACACAACAGAGTTTCTCATAGGACTGATTGCAAATAAATGCAAGAAAAATGAATTTGTATTCTTTCTCGGCTATCAGCGCTATCACAGTGTGATAGCGCTAGATAGCTCTTTCTAAACTATTTGAGGTTGTTGACTATTTTGCGAATCAGTGATACGTTTGCGAAATATTGGAACTTAGAAATGCTAATTTGTCAGTGTCCCGCCTAACCGACCAAAAGCTAAACTGTTGCCTTGAAGAATCTGAAAAAACTAGAACGGATAAGTTAGCTATGTGCTTAAGTTATAATAGTCGCCCAAGATAAAACATGCATAATTTATTTAGTTTTTAAGGCATAACTAGTTCTCATTGTTAGTTTTTTTATTAAATTCAAATATATTTATTTCATAATTGTTTAAAATTTGTTTGAAAGACTAGATGAACACACACGCAATAGCAACAATCTCTGTTATGTTAAATAGTAAGAAAAATAATAATTAATAAAAAATATGCTTACACAAAATCTATGATATACCTACCCCGATTCACAACCGTCCGTTTCCAAGAGGTTGAGCCTTATGAGAAGAAAAGGCAAACAAACTCATGGCCTATGTTTCGTGATCCCGTTTTAAAACGTCATTGGCCGTTAAACTGTGAAAATAAAGTTCTCTTCTAAGTCCGCATATTGGAACACTTGAAACAAGCGACTACGGAACTCTGTAGGTTGAACTATACGTACCTGTGCGTGGCGCGACACGCACTTGACCGGTTGTTTTTAATTATTTTAGGGCAGTAGGTAAAAAACCTTGCTATTTTAGATATTACGACAACAATTGCTAACATATATTTATCATATAATAATTGCAGTAGCATGGCACAGGCCGCAGTCAGCGACGTCGAGGGTGGAGGAGGAGCTGATACAGAAGTCGACTCGAGCTCTTGCTTCTGCTACGGACCCAATCGATAAGCTGAGATTGTTGTGTTTGTCCCGAGGTGCTTCTGGCATATTAGGACTGGGAAGGTAATGTTTTGGCACTCTACACATATAAACTCTGTAGATGGCAGATATACATATAAATACATATATATATACGAGAATATATATATATATATATATATATATATATATATATACATATGGGAGCGACTCTGCTATGACATCTTTCAATAAAGATCCTTTATAATCCTTGTCAGACAACCCTATAGAGATGAAAAATATTAAAGCCAAAGATTGTCTTGAAGTTGCTTATGTTTGACCATGGATCCGAAAAAAAATTAGAAGAAAATCGTGGAGACACATTAAGAATCTCTGTACTTAGCCAACAAATTTTTGTTCTCTTTGCATATATTTTTATATAATTGGCTCTCCCTTTAAAATATATCTCTTATCTACCAAACAAAATTTCAGCAGTCTATAAAAACACAGACCTTAGGGAGGAGTTGGTCCATGACGTTACCACTATATGTCACATATCAGTAGCAGTGGTTTAATTTAAGCGGTCGTCTCGCCGCTTCCTACTGCGCTAAGTGTTGAGGACCCGATCCTCACATCCCACTGTGTGATTCACAAATTCTTGACCACCCAGACTCAGAACAACAACTTGTGAATCACAAGGAAGTACAAAGTTGTTTTTGTTATGCAGCGTTAGGTAACCAATACGAAGTCTTTCCTTGGGTAATAACATCATTGACATAAAACAAACAGAACAGATAGAAAGCAATGGCTGCAAGGGAATGTAACCGGGCCACGAGATAATTCATCATAAATGTAACGTTTCAGGATCTTTCGAAGGATGGATGATGATGGCAGCAAGCAACTGACTAAAGAGGAATTCTTCAATGGTATTAGGGAGACCGGATTGGAACTGAGCCATAAGGTAACTCGCGGTATATATCACGTATAACATTTATTTGTGGTCAATCAGAAACTTAGAATTTTAATTTAATTAATTTAATTGTGATGATTCTTGGCTCTTTTTACTTCGATTCTATGTTATTACCTGCAACATAATAATCTTTAAAAAAAATAAAAATAAACTAATATATTTAAATTCTTGTCATTATGTCGTGCTTGATTTAAATAATTGTTTATTTTAGAACAATTACCAATTAATTTCTACAGAAGGTAAATGACGCAGAACCCTATAGAATGAAAAACAACGAATATTTACCCTGTAATTGACGAAAAACAAAAACCTCCTTTAAACCTCCTTTCTAAGGAGAGGCCTATGTCCAGCAGTGGACTAGTATAGGCTGTTGATGATGATGATGATGATGATGATGATGATGAATTGACGAAGGTCTCGTGTAACATTCTACTAATGAAATATTAATTTTTGCTTTACAGGACGCCGAAGAATTATTCGAGAAATTTGATATAGATAACAGCGGCTCCATTAGCCTTGATGAGTTCCTTAGTCATATTCGGGTAAGACTTGTACAAATATCTGAAAAGATTTACTTACAGAAATAAATATCATTTTTTTCGCGTTCGATGGCCTGTCGTTGACACAACGTGTTATTAAGCGCAGCCCTGGCCTCGACGGCTCCTCAACCTATACTCATATTATATAAAGTTTGTGAGTTTATGTATTCGGGGTAATCTCTGGTCCTACTGATCCGATTTTGAATATTCTTTCACTACGAGTATATTATCCTTGAGAGCTATAGACTACCCTTTGCCGCGATAACCGACATACACGCAGACGGAGCCGCGGGCAAAAGCTAGTTTTAAATAGAATGATTAGGCTGTCGAACATGGCGATGGCATCCACATATGAGTACAACAAAATCTACCAAATTTATTAGTTTATATTATATGCATTATTTTAATATATGCATAAATTAGTTCCGCTAGCGCCAAATGTAATTCAAGTTCAAGAACTTTTGAAAATATAAGATTATTCTTATGCAAACATGTTGCTAAGTGTTGGCCAATTTATTCTTTTTAAGTATGAAATAGAAACGTCTAATATTAAAAAGGTTCACTATTAAATGTTCTTAGTTAACTAATTGGGTAATAAAAACATCTTATCACTTTTCTGGTGGCAAAATTGCTTTGCGAGAATTACATACGTAAGATGGATATCTGCCAGTTCTATCTATAACCTCCCGTTCCTAAAAAATTTAGCCTTTTAAGAAGAAGTCGTGCAAAGTCACGGCAAATTGCCTGCAATCAAAGCGTGTTTTTTGTAAAACAAGTGAATACATTTATAGATTACTATCATTATACTCGTTTATAATGTAGCTTTCCATTGTAAAAGAATTTTTGAAATCGGTTTAGGCGTGAAAGCGTAACAAACAAACAAACAAAACAAACAACCAAACTGATTTTGACATTTATAATATAATTGTATGCATATGCAACGGGATTCTAGCTGCTGCAACATGCATTATATTCGGGTGTATAATTTGCAATGCCTCATTTCTTGCAGCCTCCTATGGCCGACTCACGTCGTGCGATTGTCGAACAAGCTTTCAGAAAATTGGACAAGACTGGTGACGGCGCCATTACTGTTGAAGATATCCGTGGAGTCTATTCTTTAACTGCACATCCAAGGTAACTTTTTATATAAAAATCCTTTTGCATCAAACCGATTTGCAGACTACTGGTCTTACTGGTTGTATTGACCTTGGATTGGTGACCTTTATAGGTCAAAATTTGTGTACTGTTATTATATTATAACCACTACTAAAGAGCAGAGCAACAGGAAAGAAAAGCCAAACAATCGGATGACGGAAAAAAGTACCAACCTCCTCAACCAGAGAGCAGCTCTAATAACCGCGGAAAATACTGTTAATAAAAATAGAGAATTAATAACAAAAATTAGCAAAGAAATAAAAGAAAACATAAGGAAAGATAGGAGACAACGGCGGATGGAAACAATAGAGAGATATATGAGACAGACAGGAGGAATAAGGAAGGCGTAGAAAGAATTAACTAATGAAAAAGAATGGATTGTGAAGATGAAAAATAGCCGTGGGGCGGAGAAGATTAGTAGACAGGAAATACTCAAGATTGCTACAGACTACTACACCAAACTATGTAAAAACAACAGAAATGAAAAAGAAATAGACCTGCCCGAGAACGAAACGGTACCATACATCATGCAGGAAGAAATGGAAAAAGCTATTGACACACAAAAAAATGATAAAGCTCCAGGACCAGACGGCATAAGCAACGAAATACTCAAGCAAACGAAAATAGCAATGACTCACAGAAATTTTTAACACCGTGATCAACACAGAAACTATCCCAAAACAATGGACTGAGTTAACCATAATCCTTATATTCAAGAAACGGAACCACTGCGATATTGGAAACTATCGACCCATCAGCCTAATGTCCAATATTTACAAGATATTTGCAAAGAATAGAAAGAAAACTAGACGAACAATAACCAATAGAACAGACAGGATTCCGCAGGGACTCCTCGGTACTAGACCACATCCATACTGTTAGACAAATTATAGGAAAATGAATGGAGGAGATATTTATAGACACAGCTCGGCTTATATCCGACTGGGAAAGGAAGGAAATATGTTCCAAATACAAAAGGGCGTGAGACAGGGTGACCCCCTTTCACCGACACTTTTTCTGGCCGTATTGGAAATGATCTTCAGGAATCTGGAATGGAGAGACATGGGCATAAATATTAATGGCCGCATGCTAACGCAATTAAGATTCGCTAACGATTTTGTATTGCTAGCAGAAACACCAGATGATCAAAGCCAGTTGATAAATGATCTAGCATCAGAAAGTGCAACGGCCGGTTTGAAGTTGAACCCAGAGAAAACAAAAATCATAACCAATGGCAACAAAGATGCTGTATCAGTGGAACAGACTCAAATCACCTATGCTGACGAATACATATACCTCGGCCAACTGGTGTTTCCGGAAGACAACGAAAACAAAGAAGTGTGGAGTGGGTAATTGCAAATGGTTGGAAGAAATACTGGGACCTGAAAGAAATAATGAAGGACAAGAACCTACACATATCAACAAAAAGCAAAATATTTAACACATGCATCCTGCCTGTATTAACATATGGGAGCGAAACATGTGCTTTAGCAAAAAACGTAGCAAACAAACTCTCCATATGCCATGGAAAGGAGTATGACAGGGACCAAAAGAAAAGATAAAGTAAGGAATAGCAACATCCGAAGCAAGACTAAGGTCCAAGACATAACTTTGAAAATAAGGAGACAAAAGTGGAAATGGACAATCAGAGGAAAGGATAAATGGAGTAAAATAACCACACAATGGTACCCAAGGGATGGAAAAAGAGAGGTAGACCACAGAGAAGGTGGGAGGATGACATTAGACAAGTCGCGGGAATAACATGGGGTAGAGTGGCCATAGAAAGGCCAGAATGGAGAAGATTGGAGGAGGCCTTTGCTACCTTTTTTTTTTTTTTTTTTCCGTGCGGAAATCCCCTCGGATACCACCTGCCGGTGGCATGTCGCACAGCCTTTGCTACCTGGCAAACGGACACACAAAAATGGAAAAAAAGAGTGATGTTTGAATGACAAAGAAATACAGTTGTGCCCGATTGAAGGCTAATAATAATAATAATTAAACACCGTATAATTATACATAGTACCTATGTATATTTCTTATATACACAGTACCTATGTATATTTCTATGTATATACATAGTACCTATGTACAATATTTCTTAAAAAGTGTCTGTAGTCTAAACGGCTTGATGGCTTCGGCTTAGGAAGTCTCTTTAGATTCGTCTTAATTGTGACAGGTGACATTTACTTTAAATTTACTGTCAAATTATTAAATTTACGATTTATAATTTGTCACAAAATTTAAAGTACCTTTACATATTCAAGCAGTCGGGTTTCTTTTTATTAAAAAATAAACTTTAGTTTCTTTTTATTGAAAACTTACAAATTAAGAAGCGGCCTTGTCGGGTTTCAAGTGTTTGGAGTTGTTTCTCATCGTTATGTGCTTTTTTTTTATATTTTAGATATATGAGCGGTGAGGAAACAGGCGACTTGATTCTGAACAAGTTTTTGGCTAACTTCGAGTCCGAGGGCGTCGTAGATGGAAAGGTAAAAATTTACACGAATCACTAATAGCGTTAAACTTAACTTAACACACATTTTTTCAAAAACAAATTAAAATAAACATACGCTACTCATTTGTACTTGGACATGTATAGACATGGGCATAGTAAGGATTTTGGCCCAAGGCAATCATTTTTGTATTCGCCCAGGCAGTTAAAAAATATTTTTATCGGCTCTAAGGAAAACTAATCTATATTAATAAATTTAATACTATAAACATAATTGATACTCGTTGATCATTGAAATGTCTAAATAGATTGTCAAACCTGTCGAAAAAAAATTAGTGTAACTTATAATATTAGGGTTGGTAGGTAAGGTTGACTGGAAGAAAATGAGTTTGTAATGTCCTAGTTTTGAAATGACTTACTTAAATAAGACTTAAATAAGAAAAATGTACGGAGACTGGATCCTCCAGTCAAACCATCAACCCATTGGGGGACACAGATTGTAATGTCATGTTCACAAATTAAGTTGAAGTAAAACAATTAAAAAAAAAAAAATAGATTAGTCACCGGTCATTATCTATCTATAGTCACCACCGGAAACCATCGGGTTAATTTAATTAAAACTTCGTTTCGTATGTGTTATATATTTTTGTTAAGTTCATTTATAAGTATGTAATTATTAGTTACTAAACATTATTGTTTTTGTGGCAGGTGACCCTCGAGGAGTTTATGAACTACTACAGCGGTATCAGCGTGTCAATCGACAACGACTGCTATTTCGATCTGATGATGAGGCAGGCTTACAAGCTTTAAGCTTACACTAAACTACAAATTCCGAAATCACTTGTCACGACACAAATTTAACGGATTAATTTATTTTTAAAATAATTTACGCAAACAGAAGTTGTTAACTCGTTAAATCTTACTAAATATCGTATAAAAATGGAAAGAGTCAAATAATTAAATTAACCATTTATTATGCTAAATTCCTAAATTTTGGAATTCTTTTCAAAATCTTTTTTTCTAACATTTAAAAATGTTTTTATGAAACTCAATTATAGCTTTAAATGTTCTTTCAACAGCTTAGTGTCAGAGTGATTTGTAATCTTTCAACTTTGCTATGCATTTCGTAGATACACACAATACTGTATGCTTCATAAATGTAGCACGGAGATCGGAATAAAATGTCGTTTCCTATGACTGCACCCTTACTTCTAATGTTATTATAACGTTATATTATTTCATAATTTAGTATCGTGTGGTATGATATTTATGTTAATTCCATTAAAGCATTTTGATTTTGATGATTGTTTTATTTTATTGCAATCTGTTATATTATGTATTCTTTTATTACTTACATGGCTTTCTGAGCTCAGTAAATTACTGAACTAATAGAACTAATAGTTTAGTCAAAGGAGGGTGTTTCTATTCTTTTCAAGCTAGGGTTTATGAGGGCTAAGGGTTTTTAAGAAAAAAAATAATTTAAAACCAATATGCAAAAACTTGTCATTCTAACAAAATCTATCAATCAGCCGGGTGAATATTACCGATATTTCATGTTTTCCTTTATAAAGCATAAAATGCTTTTTTTTGTACGCTTATATCTTTCAAATTACGAAACGGTTGTTAATGCGTCTTCACCAATAAACTTATTCTAGAGGCGAGTTTATGTGTCCTTTTATTAGATGCATATTTTAGTAGAGGAAATCCGAGAATTTCAATTCAATTCAATTTGTAATGTGAAGTCGTAAAAAATGTTTTTGTACGAAATAGATCAAAATAATGTAATAATGTACTGCCCGGGTCGGACGTCCGTCCCGTGTGGCAGTAAAGGCGTCGGTAAGTGCGGAGCGGGCCTTTGCATATAAAGATGTCCTGCACTCATGTAGTAAAATCATTTATAATAATAGCATAATTAATTACTCCACACCGGCACCACATTAGTAGTATCTGTGTCTGTATGTGCAGAGCTGGGAGCAATTTAAATTGGAGCTTCGCACAAGTGCAATATAATAATAATAATAACGTATGCCGGGACTAACAGCGACTATTTTATACCATGTATATAAACAAGACTGAATGAGAACAGATGTACTTTGTTTTTAAAATAAACCTTGAAGATGGCAAATTAGGAAATAAAATTTTGTCAGGTTTAGGGAGTGTTGTAGTTTATGAGTTAGCAAGTGTTTATTTAAAGAAATGTTCAGCGTGGGCCTAGCGTTTCGACCTTACGATGGATCTCGGCGAACAGTGCCTCGGGTTCTTGCGCACGGTTCGAGAGGCCCATTACTACGGTACTTACGGTTTACTCGCGTCAGAACGGCAACAATACCTCTATTCTCTACAACTGATTATTTTCAACGGGGGTTTAAGTCTGTCGGTATACGGGGACTTCATCAATAGGGTACACCTGAGACCCCAGTCAGTTGCTGACTCCGTGATGGAAACCCTAGTTATTTGATTCCAACAAACTACCTCAAAATTATTCTGATTTGAATCCAAAACAAGATTGACATTGACACATGAAAAAGAAATCCCATTTGCAAATACAACACATGATTATAGTACCTAAATAAATATATCTACACGCTACTATAATAAAAAATACTTTATCACGTCACATACTTATTGACCTGTTGTTATAATACGAAAGTCTAATCTGACATACACATGAATAAAAAAAAACATCATTATCATCTCTGCCGAAAGACGTCTACTGCTGGATATAGACCTCCCCAAGATTCGTCACAATAACCGGTAACAATGAGCTCACGGGCTATCGGTGAGGCCGTATGTTGGACTGAGACCGACTGAGACCACACGGGGTGCGGTGTGCTAGACTGCGTTTGAAAAAGGAGGACTGTTGGCTAGCCCGTGAGTGGCACGCATAATATAATATTTGGGCTATGACCAGGCACACAAAGACATCTCTCCTTCACAAGCTCTACCCATCGCTACACACGCGGTCACACTTAGGGTGGCACAACGCGCTCATGAGTCGATATTTCGCCGCGTGGGCGTCGGCGGCATATCGGATCCGATTGGAGGTGTTAATGGATCTGTTTCGCCGCCTCCTTTGGCGAGATGACTTCTACGCAAAAGGACCGTTACCTTTCGCAACTGTCGATGCAGGCCATGGAGCACGTATGACCATGACATAACCTACTCTAACTCACTTTCTTCATCATCGTCATTTCTTCATCTTATTTTTTTCACTTTATTTTATAGGTTTCCTGTTCAATCTAAGTTTTATAGTGAAAAATAATAATAGAAAATTTCTTATTAGTTGCTTTGCAGTAGTTAAAAAAAAAATCTTTATTATCTGTAATACATACATTTTATCTATGACCTTAAAATAATAGTGTCATAATGTTTGTTATTGTTTAATATCTTGGAACTGCCACTTAGAATAAATTTTATATTAATACTTTATTACAAGTACCTACTGAATTGAAACAAAATCGTTTTATAAATTGAGTGATTCAGTTATTTAAATTGAATGAGGTAAATAATTTACTACTCACAGGCATTCCTATAGTTTTTCTACTTTGCAGATGAATTAAAATAGTTTCAAAGTTGTAAATTGGGACCTAATCGTGATAATATTTTATACTATAGGTACCTTTTAAAGTTAGATATCGAGTTTCAAAAATCGTTGTCACAGAAAACTCCTGCCTAACTACCTCAGCCTAGCATCGGAATCCTAGGCATCGACATATCGAGCGAAATTAAGGTCAAATTGGCCTCAAAGAAGCTCGGTGTGCTGAATAGATCGAGGCAGTACTTCCCTCCGGCCCACCACCTTCAGCTCTATAAGGCGCGAGTCCGGCCGCATGTGGAATACTGTTCTCATTTCTATGCAGGGGCACCTCAGTACCAACTTCTCCCGCTGGACCGCATCCAACGAAGAGCGACTCGAATCGTCGATAGCCCAAACATCTCCGATCGGCTCGATCAACTGGCGTTACGTAAAGATGTGGCTTCACTCCTACTCTACTCCTTCCTAAAAGGCCGGCAACGCGTTTGTGACTCCTGAGTTGCAGACGTTCATGGGCGGTGATGGTCACTTTCCATCAGATGACCCGTCTGCTCGTCTGCCCCCTCTAACATAAAAAAAGTTGATTAAAAATCAAATCAAATAATCTTGTGTTCAGAAGTTTATACAAAAAAAACAACCAGAATTACACTACAGGTTTAGTCGTACTTTTCGTTCTGCATCCACAGATGGCGTACCTTTACATACTACATTACCAGTAAATTAAGTAATATACAAACACCTACACCTACATCTGTGGATGAAGAACGAAAACTACGACCAAACCTGTAATATTCCTCGATTATAACGATAGAGTACTCTGAAGAGTACTCTAGCGTTCGTATCGTACTTTAAGAAAAAACCTGGTTCAAAAAACTCAAAGGGCGGTAAAGGACTAACAATTGAATGGCAGGTGTCACTTTTCATTTGCTTGTTTGCCCTCTGTAACTAAACAACGTTTCTAAGTGATTATTTTTTTTACAGATAAATCATGTGTCGAACACTGCAAATACTGATGCAGACTCTCTTATGTTTAGTACAAATGCTGGTGAGAATTTTGGTTACAATCATGCTTATGCTTGAAAATATAATAAGGCTAATACTTACAACTATATACAACTTAATATCGACCATACTACAGTTGATATCTATATTACCGATATGCTGCATATTTATCTGCACATCGAAACTTAGATGTTTGATGTGTAACTGCTGTACGGGTTGTCCAGGTGCCAATGGAGGGATCGGACAATGCTTGTTGAGTTTCCTGTGCCTTGTTCTGACATTCTACTTATTAAGAACGTTCGGAGTTCTCGATAAACTATTAGCCAATTTGGGATACAAAAGGGAATCAGAGTAGGAGTTTATTTCAAAAAGATAGATGTGCCATTTAACTTGGCTTGAATTATATGTTATAAAATGTGGCAATACTCAATCTGACCAAGATAACAAAAAAGGTTTAAAGGTACATTACGTATACTACAAAACGTATTTTAGACGTTCATTTACATCTGTTATTGCGTAAGTTATTATTTATTTTTAAGATATATGTTTTTTTATTCGTTGTTTTAATTAAACGATTTCAATTTTATTACTTTTTTTAAACTACTGTTAATAAGGCGTCTTTTGAAATCTGTGCTCGCTTTACGTAAAAATAGTGACAGGGTTACCAGAATGTCATGGCGATTGGGCACACATTTGGGGGGCACTACAAGACGTTCTAAGAGTTTTCTGTTAGGTTCTCCCATTTTTCTTAGCGCAGGTCCTGAGGCCATAACCTCCTGGATACATCTCCTTACCACACAATAACGTCTTAAAGAGCTTTCTGCTTATGTTGCGATTGTCCTGTTACGTTTGTGTTTCGCCCTCCTGGAAAATAATTTCCGCAGCAGGTAATTAATTTTCAGGAGGGCGAAGCACAAACGTACCACCCGTACTTGGCTTTGACCCTAGGAAGTATTGTCATTTGACAAAGCCCTGAAGCCAGTCGGTCCATGGATGAGAAACAGTGAAGTCAGGCGGGTCTCCCCGATTTGTTGTGGGGCTCTGCGGGTGCGTTGTGCTCGGGATGTGGGCCTCCCGGCTTTTCTGGCGTCTGCGCACGGTGTTGCAAACTTTGTCACTGTCTTATTGGAATCCCATGGTGGCGAGGTGAGCATACCGTTTTCGGCTTAGTCGGCCCTCACCCCGATTGGGGCGTTCCCCGAAGCAGCGCACGTTCAGCGGGCGTGAGATGAAGCGAATCCAAATCAATTTATAGGATGGCTAGACTGCGGGCTGTGTCGAAGACGAAATCAGGGGCATGGTTGCACGGGCACACCGTTATTGCGGCGGTAAGACCCGTTATGGAGGATTGGCTCGAGAGGCGTCACGGAACCCTCTCATACCGGTTGACGCAGGTGATCTCCGTAAAAGGTTATTTCGGAGATCACCTGTGTTTGATCCGCAAGGAGCCAATGCTTGAGTGCTACCACTGCGATGGCCGGACTGTGAACATGGCCCTCAACACGTTGGCAGAATGCCCGGCGTGAGTGGAGCAGAGGCGTAACCTCGTGGTTGCCATCGGAGTGGAAGTCCTCTCGCTCAGTAGTATGATTGCCGCCATGGTACGGAGCAAGAGTGCGTGAAATTCCGCCGTCCCCTTAGCAAGTTATGCTTGCGAAGGAGATGGCGGAGCAGGACCGGGAGAGGTTTAGAGCTCTGCTGGCCCGCGAGGCCGAACGGGCCAGGTACCGCAGACGACTCGAGCGCTGGAGGTCGCAGAACGACCACCGTCCTCCATAAGCGCAGGCCTGGGGGTGACAGGTGGAGCTATCTGTCACCCTTTTGTTTTTAGACGGGTAGACAACCCCCCCTGTGTGGGAACTCCCATGTTCCCTCTGTGCTCCCGGAAGGTCGCGCGCGCTTCATAACGCGCTCACCGTCACCCCGACCTGCTTCTGCTCGGACAGATCACCCGAGCAGAAGCAGGCCGGAGTGGCGGCGCGACGCGCTGCCGAGCGCGCGCGCCCTTTTCCGAGCACAAAGGGAACATTGGGGTTCCCACACAGCCCGAGAGACGTCGGGGTATCAGGGGTTTCCTTTCTAGGGTACACATGGTTCCCTGGCCACTGGTATCCGAGACGGCGTGCGGTTTTTGGTCGGTTCAAGTCCGACATAATCACGCCACCGGTGGGTGATATCCGAGGGGATTTCCGCACAGGAAGAAAAAAGGGGCATGGTTGCACGCGTTACCTTCACCTCACTTGGGCATTTTGTTAGATGACAATCATTAACTCTACGCGTGGCCCTTGCTCTCTGCCTGGGCTGCAAGATTTGTCTCTTATGTCCCTCTCAAAACTCCGACTTCGTGAGTTCTTCGTTCTTTGTTCAAGCAGTACTACTCTGGAATGCGCTCCCGCTCGAAGTTAGGATGTCCACAAACCGCTCTATATTCAAAAGAAAGGTACATGATCTCCTTCTCAACGAGATGGCAGAACTATTTAATCCATAGTTTACCTCATATTCCGGTATTCATAGTGTGCGAATATAATATGTCTATGTATCTATATAAATGTAATTGAATATATATGTATGTGTGTAATTGTATATATGTGTATGTATGATGTATTGTGTCAAATATGTGTATGTATGAGTTTATCTATGTAGCGAACCGTTACATATACTTTCACTTATTACTTAATATATTAAGACGTAACCTCTGTGTTTTCACATCCACCATGCCCTCTACGACGTAGTCCGCATGGCTCCCATTTCAGCCAACATCCCATGTGTGCTTGAGCCCCCGGGTTTGAACAGATCCGACGGTAAGAGGCCGGACGGGTTGACTCTGTTGCCCTTGCCTGATCTGGGACGCCACTTGTGTCAGCACTGTTGCCACTAGCCATCTGAGTCATCCACTCCTCGTCGGCAGTCGCGGAAGACGCTTGTTTCAAAAAGAGGCAAAAGTATGCAGCTTAGGAGCAGCATTGCCACTTCGTCCCTGTGGCGGTGAAGACCATGGGCAGTTGGGGTGCTGACACTAGAAAATTTATTAAGGAGTTAGGTCGAAAACTCACAGAATTCAATAGTGACTCCCGCTCCGGTTCGTTCCTGGTGCAAATGTTGGCCATTGCCATTTAACGCGGCAATGCAGCAAGTGTGATAAGATAATTATTATTTGTTTTTGTAATTTTGCTAGTTTTTATGCCTGAGCCTGTAATATATTTTTTGTAAATTTACTATAAGTATGTAATAAATAGTAATTAAGATATTAAATGTTTATTGTTTATTAAGTATACTTCTCTTTTTTATTTACTATTTTTACAATACTACATTACAGTGAATATTATGTACACCGTAATTGTCATACATATCAGGAGGAGGGCTACTTAGTATCAAAATTAGTTATAAGTATAATATTTATAATGTGGTAGTACTTATTAATAAATAAAATAATAAAACTATATTGTATCATCATCATCATCAGCTATCGCAGTCCACTGCTGGACATGGGCCTATCCCATTGCACGCCACTTAGATCGATTTTGGGCTTCTCGCATCCAGCTCCTGCCAGCCATCTTGCGCAAATCGTCACTCCACCTGGCCTGTGGACGTCCTACACTACGTTTGCTGAGAAATTTTATAGTCTCAGAAATTTTGATTTCAGACTATTTCACTGGACTATCGACCACTAACGTATGAGCCGTCTGTTTGAAGCCGGTGCCAAGCCCAATGCACTATAAGAAATGCTAAGGGATAGACCCTTAGCATTTCTTCATCTTTATATCAGCTCAATAAAGAATTAAGAATTCAATATAATTAAGAACCTCCTCCTGAAGTCGGTCTTGTGTTTTTGAAGTCGTTTAAAAATAAAATATTTAGATTGAAATTATTTTTATGAGAAATTATTTAGTTAATTTAGATTGTCATAATGCTGTATGACAATTCTAATGCACCAATCCCAAGTGCAACGAGTGCATTAAGTATATACCTACTCTGTTATAACCCATTTATTGGGAATAGCTAAATAAAATTGTACAATACCCAGAAGTGTTCGGAGTTCAGTTATGCAATTATCAAACGAAATTTGTCAATTTAATCATTTTTATTAACAAAAACAAGAATTTCACTCAAACCAAGTAATAATATACAGTAGTCCAATTATGGTTGGAATGACTCCATCCGAGCGGTGTTCCTGGGCTATCTGTTGTTGAAGTTGTTTCATTTAACTCTTCTAAATTTTTCACTTCTTCATTATATTGTTCAAATTGTTCGGTTGTTGAAGTCGATTCCAGTTGTGTATAGTCAGTATCATTCCTGGAGCATTCCGTGATATCTCCAGGCGTTGGCACATATCTGGTGTGTGCTATCGGCTTAGCTCTAGCATAGCCCAACGAATAGAATATCTTGTCGAGCACGCCAGTGGCTCTGAATATAAAGAAAATTATGAGGATAGCGAAAAACGACATGAGGCAGTCGCATGTTCCTCCCCTGTTGACTGGACACGGCCCACCGCCACCACACACGAAGCATTTGAGCCTTGCTGTTACTAAGAACACGCAACATATCGGTATGAGTGATATCATCTGCAGCATAAAGGATATGAAGTTGTACATAGTCTGCAGGACCATTCTAACGACGTTCTCTATCATCAGTAGCACGGTCATAAAGACCCTTACCACCATTTGCACCCCACATATTACTGTTTGGAGAAGGGCGTGCACTGTGCGACACATGATTTAAGTTGTATCTGGAAATAAAGGTATTTAGCTTAGTCAAGGTTTTTTACATCGAACTATACCCTAAATATATCTGTAATCTTTCCAAGTTTATTTTAAAATAATTGCTAACACAAAATCACATTATTGATGTATATAAAATTAAATTGTGATGATCCAAAACATAATAGATTTATAAAACTTAGAAGATCACAATATTGGAGCCTAACAAGTCACAATAAATAGCATTCAATCACTCACTCGCCATATTGAAGGAAAAGAGGGACTATCATCCCGCAATAAGTAGTCTCATTCAAGTGAGTATATATCCAAAGAAATTACTGATTTTATCGAGCCCATTGTTAGCCTTGAGCATGTAGTAAAGAATTGTTAAAGTAATGATGGTCAAAAAACAATCGCATATTCTCCGCCCATAGTTAAAGCAAAAGCCGCTGCCACCACAGAGCAAGCATCTAAGCTTTGATGTGCAAATAAACACACAGCATATTGGTAGTAATGCCGCAATCTGTAGTAGGAATGATATATAATTGTGCAATGTTCTGAGGGTCATTTTTACCAAATTCTCTATCATGTAAAGCATTGTTATTAGGACATTCGCTATCATTTGTACACAGCATACTATGATTTGCACCAGCGACTGCGCTATTTGACACATGCTTTAACATGTAATCTGCAAAAATTACACTTCTTTTAATGATGCTTAATATCTTGTGTTGTGTACTTGTGTTGATAATACATACGTACTTAATATAATACAGAAAACATTATTTTACACCAATATTAATTCAAGTTATGCTGAATTACCTGTTTACTGTGAGAAAGCAAAAAAATGGTCCCGATTGGTATTTGTTATCTGATTAGTTTATCTAAACGATACATATAGGTTTTTATAACAAAACATTTATATTAAAAAATCTGAACTAAGACATAATATAACTAACTATATGCTAACTATACTAAATCTTAAATGCGAATGACAAGCAAACATGGTGTGTACCTATTTTTTTCTTAAACAATTTCTATTTAGAATATATTTTTGGAAGAGGTTTATAACAAGAAAGTTTGTAGCAGAATACTCTGTACATTTTGTCTCTTACGAAAAATAGTATTGTCGTACACCCCTACCTATCACTGCGCAAACAGCTTATGCTATTCTAAAATATCTTTAGCAAATAATTTTGCCAGTTTTAAATAAATTATAGTTAAAGAAAACTAAATCAATCCATATTTGTAACTAGCCGAACTAAGAAATAAAAAAATAGTTTTATTTAAATAATTTTATCGTAAAAATGTGTGTGTGTTCCTTTCCTTCCGGCTGACTCAGGTCCTTTCTGAACACGGCTGCTTCGGGAAGTACCTGCACTCGGTCGCTAGGAGGGAATTGTGTAAGTGGGGTGCTAGATCTCAATTGTTATAAGAATATTTTATTGATAGATATTTGATATAAATATTTTATTGATAAAGCACTCCACGCTTTTTACAATAACTTTTAGAAAATTATTTCCTACCTTTTCCCGACTTTTAAAGTGGATGAAAATGTGAAATTCCGTTACATAGACACATACGCACATACCAAGCCAATAAAAGCGTGTTAAAAAGTAAAACCTATAAAACCAGCGCCCAGTTTATAGCCCCTGGTTGTCACGATATTTGATGTTCTCTTTTCGAATTTCAAGCTTTCCCACCTCGTATCTTCGGTACTCGCCCTACGATATCCCAAAAATGTCGCCTTATGTTTTTTACAGTTCTTCTACAATAAAGTTTCTGATACATTTTTCGATTAAATATTAATCTGCAGTTATTTTGTTATAATGATTAGTTTATGACCCTGTCCTTGTAGCCTCTCCAATCACAGGATAAACATACGGGTACGCTATTCCAAACCATTCGAATCTCAATCCCATTTCCCATCTGAGTCTCGCGTTATCCCGTATCATAACTATCTCACCTTATCTATTTTCCTTACCCAATATTATCTTCATTCATTGTCTAGTCTAAAGATTTTCCCAAGCAGGATCGAGTTAGTATGAGTCTGTATTTTACTGCTATTATGGTTTTAATATAGCAGTTTAAGTTCAAATTATGAAGCTAAACCGATTTATTACCTAATTTGTGTTTTTACCTAAATTGTGTTTGAGGAGCTCGTGGCTAAGTGGTAACCGAGTAGGTTAACACATTGCAAAGTTAAGTAATTAAAGTCGGGTCAGTCTATGGATGGGTGACCATTCTTAACACATTAAGAGGTCTCAGTGCTTCGGAGAGCACCTTAAGCAGACGGTCCCGGTTGCCATACGTACGTCTGTGGCAATCGTTGTGGGTAGCTGCAGCCCCAATAAAGTCCGGCCTAGAACTTGGGTTGTGGAAGTCTGATAGCAGTCGGTCCGTGTCAAAAATCGAAGTTCAGCCGTATTGCAGTAGATTTAAAGCCGACACCAACCTGGTTTGGGAAAAAAGACTCGGAGCAAGGAAAAGTAATTGTTTGGTTTTGACTTAATTAAAATGACTGGTACACGTACCTATTGTTCATAGTTAACCGACTTCAATTAACTGAATCATAATATTACATGTATTCTAAATGTTATACATCTCAAGTTAAATTTTTAGGGATAAAGAATATAACATTACAATTTATGAAGATTTAAGTGCACTGAACTCGATGCGCATCTTACGCGACATCCCCTACAAATGCAAGAAAATGTGTAGGTTACAATGCTTCACAAAGAGGAGACCAGACTGCGTTGGAATCATGCCGTTGCAATTAATTAGCCGTTACCGCCCAAAAATCCAGAGATATACCGAAGTCAAAGTTTAGGGATGTTGTACTGAGAAATATGAAGACTTACAGGTATCCCATAAAGAGGAGAGAAGTGCAAGACAAAATATACGATGAAAATTAAATTCACCGCTATGTGGGACGTAGAGCTTGATAGAGTAAGAAATTTTATTCTTTATTGCAAGAACCTCTTTTCAACGAAATTATTAGTGAAAATATAAGGTTAATACTACTCAAATTTTAATTTAACTTATAGTAATTAAATAGTGCAGTAGTAGCAGATATAAATATATTCAGATTATGGAGTGGTGGGAAGGTGGAAATGAGTTTGGTAACCTGCTTATACCGTATACCTAAGTACTTGGATTTGTTGTGACCCAAACGTAGGAGCCATTTTGAAAGTGAAGTTGACATGTGCATGAAGTTGGCAGTGATCTTCGACATACCAATTTCTCGGTATGCGTACCATTTTCCAGGGTCTTGTACCATATACAGAGTAAAAATTGTGCATACATAATTTTTTTTCTTGTATCTAAGAATATATTAGTTCTTGCTGTACGTCATGGTTACAACCTTGATTATTGTAAAAGTTTACTGTTCATAATAATGTTTATTTTTGAACCATTGAGTAACTTAGTTTAGATTACCTTTATCAATCGAGCAAATTATCCATGGATGAAGGGTATGATTTTGTCAGAAAAATAATAGAAAACTTCGGTCAATGTAACTCACGGTTGATTTTAATTTTTTCAAATTATACAGACAATTTTATTATAAGATCTAATAATGAAAACGTCAATGAATAATGAGAATAATTATTATTAGTTATAATATTAGTAATAACTATTATTGTTAATTTTTATCAGATATGAATTTATTTTTTATTCTCATCTCTATACAGGTGCACCTCAGTACCAGCTTCTCCCTCTGGACCTCATCCGACGAAGAGCGACTCGAATCGTCGATAGCCCAAACATCTCCGATCAGCTCGATCTCTTGGCGTTACGCTGCACTCTGCATTCTCTATGTATCATGGAGAGTGCTCCAAGGAATTGTTCGGACTAATACCAGCTTCAAGTTTCCGCCATCGTTCCACACGGCAAAATTCTCATCCTCATTACCTGGATAGTTGGCGCTCCACTACTGTGCGCTTTTTGAGACACTTTTTGCCCCGCACAACCAATCTGTGGAAAGGGTTATCGTCTGCAGTATTTCCAGACCGATACGACCTTCAAACCTTCAAGAAAAGAGCGTACTCCTTCGTAAAAGGCCGGCTACGTTTGTGAATCCTGAGTTGCAGAAGTTCATGGGCTTCGGTGGTCACTTTACATCAGGTAACACGTCTGCCCCCTCTAAAATAAAAAAAATGTTTTCAAATAATCAAGAATTTCCTCGATAATTCAAAATTTAATTTAAAAGAACATATAAAATAAACGATTCTTATTATAATTTGATTTGATTATATTTATATTTGATAAATTTGATTATAAGACGTTATTGTGAGTGTACCAATTTGTTTAACAAATACCAGCTTTTAAAGCCTTTTAGCGACTATTATACCAGCTTTATTAGGCCTCCATCTAACATCACTGAATTTTGGTTGCACTTTATGGCCATTGTTATCAAAAGTTGAAGTTTAAAGTGGAAATTTGTCATAAGTATTTTAATGTCCTACTTTTACAAATAATATATTCTTTTCGAGACCAAATTTCCTATACAAGATACAACAATCTTCTATTTTACGGTATCCATTTTTATTTGGTGTAGTAGAAATTACTGTACTTTTATCGACAAAACCACCAAGCAATAGATGATGATAAGCCATCATGCCTTCAGATTTTTGTATGAAAAGGTTATTAAGGTAAATGCTAAAAAGTATCAAAGTGTGTTAAGGAAAAAGGTCTTTTACATCTATAAATTTATTAAAATTCAAATAAATTAACCAGGTATGTACGAAGTATAGTTTGAATGAAGTTAGCTTCTCTCGAATCATAAAGATTGGTGTGTAAGTAATGTTGATGGTGTATCGTTAATCCGATCATATGTTTATTTTTATGTTTTCAAAAAGCAATCGTTCATACTGCAACTCCAGGGTCACTAGTGTGTTGGTTTCAAGGTCGTAGTATTCCATGAATTCTGCAGGTAACAATTTTTGCCACAGGTTAATAGAGCGAGGCAAAAACTTTCGTTAAAACTGCACAGTGGTAGGATGGAAATGTTGTTT